AAACTAATTTGGTTTTTCGAGAGACTCACGTAAAACCCAGTTGAATCTGTCGTTTGTGATGTTCTCAGATGCCAGGTGAGTCTCTCGAAAAACCAAATTAGTTTGCAAATGAGTGTATATTCACGAAGGGGGATTCTGTCTTTGAAACGTTGTCACATATAGAAAAGTACTGGTTGGGATGTCATTGATTCATGTTCGCCATCAGACAACAGAATCTCTGCAGAAGCACGTACAGAGAGTCAGCCGAATACTTCAAACCATGGATGGAACACGTGCGTTCCCATTCTAGTCACAAACTGTACAGTACTCGGACGAATGATCTACTTTGTTCAAAAATCTAAACGGTGCACTTGCTCTGTGAATGAAGACACGTCTACGCCTTGTCTCGAATAGAGCACGGCCAAATCTAGACGAAATAAGTAGTTCCCCCTCCCCGTGATTTGGTCGTCCAATTGCAGTCAGTTGATGGTGCACTAACAAAAACCATTCTACAGCTGTTTCACTGTGGCTATCGAAACCTGTTGTTGCCGTACTCCCTCTGTGTGCTAGCAAGTCCTGATGACGACCAGCTACCCGTTATTCCAAAGTGAGGGTGCAAATCTCTCGTGGTATGCTATAGAGGAAAATGTTGGTAGCTCAGGTAGCGTAGATGGTAGTTGGGTTGTTCGCTGAGCTGGGCAATTTGATTGCAAACGTTTCATCACCAATCGAGGTGACATCATCAGTGCGTTATTGGGGAGGGTAATGGTGCCTAGAGCTACGCACAACTACGCTCCCCAATAACGCACTGATGATGCCACCTCGGATTGGTAATGAAACGTCTGCTCTCGTGGCATGTTCACTGATGTTTGCAATCCGGCGCGGGTGGAAAAGCAGCTCGGATTTTCAACACAGAATGACTCCAGTTTCAGGTTAGAAGTAAGAATTTCATAAATAATTCTAGACACCTGAAAAGCTGAATTCTCGGGAAAATGTGTGCAGGCATTTGAATCAACCGCCGCGTACTATCTGCCAGAATACGATCCTCAGAATGACAAAACAAAGGATAAAATGCACACCGTCTTTCATTAGCTTTATGGGTTTTTTGTCACAGTGAGCTCTCGCTCAAGCCTTCGGAAAAGAGGACCTCCTTGATGATGTCTTGTTCGGACCAAGAGTAATGTGCTCAAAAAGACAAAGGGTGGCAACCAGCCGAAAAACCTTGTCATACTATCTGGTCGATTTCACTCGGAATAATTCACAGCCAATAGGAGAGTAGGACAACGGCGATTTGGTTGATGGGCATTTGAACCTTTGCTTAGTTTGATTCCAATCGTCTCTCCTGTTTTCAACTTAAGATAGCTCATTGGTTAAGGAGCAAACCTACAGACGGAAAGGTCCAGCTCAAAAGTAAACGGGAATAAGCTTCAAGACATATACTCATTCGCAACTCAATTTGGTCTTCACGAGAGACTCAAATGAATCTATCGTTAATGATATTCTACCACTTAATGTGCTGCACACAGACCGCCCTCATGTTCAGTTGGAACGATATTCGATTGAGTTTCAAATGAGCGTATTTGTCGCAATCAGTCATACTCGGGTTCAACTGGAACATAAGCTTGATAGAAACTCGGGGACTGCGATTACCTGATGAGCCCCAAGAAGGACGAAATCGGTCGTGGGTTGTCGAAGAGTTTTCAGCGACCTTATGAGTAGTTTCTTTTATGAGAATAAGCTTCACCTGAAGTAAATTGGTCGCATTCTTCCAGAGCCTGCTCACTTGATTCAGACCACTGAGTGATCCTCTAAAACAATAGCTAATGTGTTAAGAACGAAAAATTTGAACCTTCCAGGAACGTTTTAAAGACCTATTAGGAAATAGCGAGTGACGATAACAAGTTACGTCACGTGTTAAACCGGCAGTGAGACGGTGATCATCAATCGATAATGTTTGACCCCACTGATATCTATTCACATATCAAGGAGAGATGCACAAGAAGTCAAGCGAATATTCTCGAGCGCAATTCACGACTTTTCGAAAAAGGATTAAAATAGACAACAAAGACCTGCAGTTGTGTTGAGCTCAACACCACTTTTTAAGATATCAAGTTTACTTGCAGTTGTTCTAGAACAGAGTTACTACGAACTGGTTGAGATGATTCCCTGGTAGATTGAACGTTTGTTAAAGCAAACATTTGAGGGCAACGTGAAATAACGTTGTAAACACCAGTATTACATTGGAACATCCCAAATAAGTTGAAGTCTAAGGCCGAATTGACTTCTACCCGTCCTTTTTATTCAGCAGCACTCGAATTTGTTCATTTTAACTGCCTGCTTTTCAGATCGTTGCTGCCCTCCTGATTGGCTTCGGTGCTCTGATGGTATGGGGTAACTCTGTGATGGAAGTGGTCCTCACGAAAGTTTTGTTCCCGCTCATCAGTGCCTTCTCTCAAAAAGGCGATTCAGAGGGGATAAAGCAAGTAGTTCAACGGTTGATGACTACTTCAGGTAGGTTGTTGAATGACGAGAGGATGTGATGGGATTTAGGATTGTTCCAGAAAAAAATAGCTTCCTAAAGTAGCTTGAATAAGAATAACGTTTTATTAATAAGATAGTTAGCTTCACACTAGTTTCCATTGAACAAATCAGTCAGTATTTTTAAGCTCCCCATAAACTGGTGCAAAGAATTAGTTCAAGTCGATATTCGTGATTCATGAATCAACTGCGGGAGTGATTATATATAACCACTCAGAATACGCTATATACAAAGTGTCTCATAATAGACGCAAAAGTTAATTGCGTACATAAACGTAGCCAGAAAAGATAATAAAAGCTTTCATTATTATTAGCCACATAAAGGTAGTTTGCGTGCAAATGTTGGCATTTTTTTCTGATTACGATGTATGTCAGTACACGCATTGAAATTATGAAACTCTATTCTTCTCTTGGTCAAAGTGCCACCGCTGTACACCTTGGTTACAAAACCAAACATGGTCTCACCAAAGACCCTTTCACCGTGTCGACCATTACACGCTTGATTGCGAAATTTGAGTCCACTGGATCTGTATTGGATAGTCCTGGCAAAGGGAGAAAGTCCCTGAGTGAGAAAGAGTGCCCATTGTACAGAATGCCGTCTAGCAAATTCCGTCCCAGAGCACCATGGCATCTTCTTCAATAACTCAGATATCTCAGTTGAACGGCATTCCCCGCGCCAGCGTGCATTGTGTTATAAGACGCACAAGTAGTCATCGGCCGTCCTTCAGAAAGATGACACTCCAGTCCACTACTCAAATCAAATAAGAACTTACCTTCAAGAGCAATGTTTTGATGAGAGGTTCATTGCTGATGGATTTCAAAACTTTTGGCCTGCAAGGTCACTCGATCTCACACCTCTGGATTATTGGTTTTGGGGAATGATCAAGGCTTGCGTATATCATGAAAATAAACCGAAGAATTTGGTTGAGTTAAGAGCAAGAATTGAAGAGAAGTTTGCACGAGTGACGCTTGAAGAAGTTAAAGATGCTGTGTCTCACATCGCATACCACCTCCAACATGTTATAAGAAAAAGCAATTTTTTCCCAACATTTTTTAACATTAGTTTGTTAAAAGTGTACCTTCGTAATGCCTGTATGATCGGATAAAAAATTATAAGAGTTTAATTCAATTTTAGAGCTTTACCATGGGTATTATTTTTGCGTCTATTATGAGACACCCTGTATATATAGCATATTCAAATATATGGTGTTTCAAAGTTAGCAGTTCAAAGAGGCAGACAATATAGAGCCTATGTCATTAGCAGTAGTCAGAAAAAGTAGCAAACAACGAGTTTTAAACTTTTTTTCTCAAGGTGTTTCTAAAATATTGCCTCATTTAGCTTCGATTGAAATTTGACATATAAACTCAATTTTCAAGAATGCTAGACAGAAGACCCTGGTTAGTCCGAGTAACCGATGCTTTATTCAGAACTCTTGTGTATTAACAAGCCAGTCGGTGAAGTTTTGAAGCACGCTTCTTCAACTATTTTTACATTCAGCTCCAATTGGTTATGCAATTTTCGGAGTTGGACTATTCGTACTAATCATTTCTGCGATCGGTTATATTGGTGCGTGTTTTAACTCAAAGATTGCCTTCAAGTCGGTGAGTTGAGCTCATGAAAACCTCTTGTTTGGATATTTTACAGTTGCGAATAGTCCCTGTAGTTTCCCATAATGGGTGATTCGCCTGATGGAAGTGTGTTGCGCCATAGGCTATAGACTCACTGACAGTTGTTACAATCAATTTTAAACACCGAGTGGCCATGTAAGTCGTGTGAATATTCATACGATGCTGTATACTACTGGTGGGGGCATGCGAGTAGTATGTGTTTCTCCTGTAACTCCGCCTTGATCTCATGGAACGTGGGATTTATAACGGAATTTGTGGAACCGCTTTGCAGCATTCGCTTACAATTGCATGATAGTTATTGAATATCCAGGAAATTTAAAGAATACGGGCTCAAAAAGAAGACGGATATTCGTTTTTTAAACAAAAGTGCATATGGGGTTTTTTACTTTCCTGTCCCATAGACCGTTAGTGTTCAGTTGGTGTTTTCTAATAAACACCTCCTCGGTGAAGTACTTTCCTCCTTTCCCATGTAGGCTAGTCGTTTATTTTCCGGGAAAATTATCTGTTCTCGGTTTGGATTTTCTTGCTGGGTATTTTGTCCCGGTGAAAACGCAATTCAACAAGATGTGCACATCAAACACGTGTTATGATAGATTGGTAACATGTGCATGTTGTAACGTTTTGGCGTTCCGGGGACTTGATACACCAGGTTCGAGTTCCATCACTATCCTAAAGGTCGTGCTGCAGTTGAGAGATTGCTTAAAATGGCGAATCGTAAAATTAGACAGGATGGCATGTGTAGCACCCAGCCAATGTTTGATACGTTCTCGAACAGTAAATTAGTTTCATGAAGGAAACTACTCGCAAGGTTGCTGAAAACTCTTCGACAGCCCACGACCGGTTTCACCCTTCCGCTTGGGTCTCATCAAGTAGGCGCAGTCCCCGAGTTTCTGTCAACCTTATGTCTTACTTGAACCCAAATTGGATTGTTTTCGAGAAAACACTCATTTGCAAATCAATTTGGTTTGTTGGGCTGTCGATAAGTTCGCAGCAACCTTGTGAGTAGTTTCCTATATGAAAATATACCGCGATATCTCGAATGTCGTGCCAACTGAATCATGAGGCGGTCTGTGTGCAGCACATTCAGTTGTAGAATATCATAAACGAGAGTATCAGTTGAGTCTCTCGTGAAAACCAAAGTAAATTAGTTTGTTTGAAAGGTGTTCGGCTTGCAAGGTACCCGGTAATTCGACTAGTGCTGATAGACGACTGCTGATAGGGTGAATGGCGATTTGCTGTCAAATGAAATCTCGTGAGCTGTGTCATGGTGAGCTGACTTATTATTTTCATATGCATCACCAGGTTTCCTCATTGCTTTGTGTGACTCCGTGCAATTCACTCGGTAAAGAGGAAGTCACACTTTTTCCAGCTTTTATTCGTAAGCACGAATCCTTTCAACGTGGAGAACCAGCCCCGAACGTAACGGGACTGCATAACAGCCAATGGAATAGCCGTTTTCGTTGAGAAAGATTTCATTGGTTGTTCTTCACTCGTCCTTGACTAGATGAGTTGTATTCTTAATATCACTTTTTTGACCCGCTTGTACTCGACAGTGATCAATAGATCAGCCGGTTCACATGTTCGTTGACTTTTTCTGGTTTGGCCAAGCGCACCAGGTCATCAATCGGCTATCCAGACCGGGGTTCACTGTAATAAGAAGGCATTATGGAGACTGTGGTCCACAACATATGCGTACATCCTCCTTTCTCCAGACCAGAAGAAATCAGTCAGGGCGAGAAACCCAGTCTGCCTGAAGAATGACAACGTTTACTACTACCGATGGTTGGTGAGCAGTATTTGTTAATCGAAATGGGGTTTTCAAGGTTTTCCAGGTCATCAGTTGGCACCTAAGTAGGTGAGTGGTTGTACCATCAGACAGGTTCGGAAATTGTCACTCCTGGTTGATCGCGTCTTTGGTGGCGAGACTGGATAAGCTATTTTTTCTAAGAGGTTAACCCGGTGTTCTTGGGAGCTAGAGATTCAGAAGCGCATGTTAATCTATAGGCACAACAAACGCACTGCTGACTGGAATCGGTTGATTGATAATTTCGCTTGTGCGAGAAGCGTTTTTCCGAGCCAGAAAAACTTGTAGCAGTTAGAGGGAAGTAGGAGGGCCTGAACTGAGAAACGCTGGGTTGTTCGCTCGTTTTTCGAATCCTAAAAATGTACTTGTACACCTTGATTCGAGCGAAACAACACTATTCAATCTATTTGTTTTCAGTATGTTATCATCCTCGGCTTCCTGGTTGTTGTCCTGCTTGCCGGAATAATCACCTATTTTGCTATGAAAACAAAGGTAAGAACTTCCAGTACATGACCATATGCGCCTGCGATTGACAGTATTTATTTGTTCCATGATTTTTGAAACTTGAAGTCACTATAAAAACAACCTTTATTCGACTGAACTGTGGAAATAAGTAAATAATTGGTACAGGTGCATTAACTAACTTCTCCTGGTCATTGTTCATTTTTCTCTTGTTGTTGATGTGTCTAACTAGTACCGAACTGATATGCGAATTTGACTTAATGAACTGCCGATATATCCAGCAAAATCTCATCCAGAGAAAAAAATCACCGAGCACCAGAAAATTTAGCGAATAGGTAGTTTCAACATGATGGGTGCAAGGCTAAAAAATATGGATTCGTACGTGAAGCAGTGGACTGAAACGATTCATGTCAAAATCGACCAGTTGAGATCTCAATTTCTTTATCGATTGTTCATGTATGGACAGAGAGTTTTATACTCCCAAGTCAACATACAACAACGGAAGTTCCCGCCTCCAATGCGCAGCTACTAACCCCAACTCCCTGAAACATCGGTGAATGAAACTGTGGCAGCTACAACCACTGTACGAGCCGTACGCGGTTATTATAGTTGACAGTGATGATGATTCGGATGATTCGGATGATGATGATGATTGATGATGATGATGATGATGATGATGAT